TGATAACATCTGAATTTTTGGCCTGAGAACCTTTTTCTTCCCTGCCTTTAGTCACATGTTAGTCAGTGGCTAACTAGTATCATCTGGTGTATATCTTTAGGAAATTCACAAACTATGCTGTGCTGCTCTTATTCTCTGGTTTCAACTATAATGGGTCTCAACCACACTTCACTGGATTTGTTTTTTCTATCTATCCAACACTGTTTCACCAAAAATTTAGGTTTAGAGGTTTTTTGTTTCATTTTGTTTCTTTCTCTGTAGTATTATCAATGATAATAATTAGGACAATAAGAATTCGATTCGTATAGAGTTTTAGAATTCTACATTTATTTCCATCTCTCTTATAACTTAAAACAGACAGTAATTCAAAACATTGTTAAAAGGACTTCTTACAAAAACTTTAAAAAAAAGCGATTACTTTAATCCATCATGAATTCACTAATAATTTTATGTAAAAGAACGTCATTAACTTTTTAAGAAATATTTGTATGGTAGGCCAATTAACTAATATCATTAAATGTTAATTCATAATTCAACAAATATTTATTATTAATATGTACCAAGCAATGTAATATGGACATAATGATAGATATGATTTTGTTTGTGTCTCCAAGGAGTATACAATTTACAGGAAAGGACATATATGTAAAAATAATTAATACATAAAACCATTGTTATAATAAGTATACTTTTAAATGTTATGATGAACACAAGGAAAGAATAATTAATTATACCCAGTTGGGGAATGAGGATGGTGGAAAAGGCTTTACAAGGAAGTTGATATTAGATCTCAGATTGAGGAATGAGGGCCAAAATGGTTTGGCTGTGCTTCACTAAGACATTTGATTACTTCTTTCATGAGATATTTGTTGTCACATTAAAGAGATATATTTCAGATGACGGTGCTTATAACTGTGTTTTTTTAAACCCAACCAGCATCTGAAATGATTTAAGGTTTACCAATAGAAAAAGTAGATGGTTTTGCCCATAAAGTATAGATTAAAGAATTGGTGTCAATCAATTTCAGGATATGGTTTAATTGATGTGCCTCAGTGTCTTGACTCTCTCCCAGCAAACAGTTTGATGAAATATTTTAGGGGAGTGGATACCTGAGGCACACTGAGTGATTTAAAGCTATTATATTAGAGTAAAGCTTTAAAAATATTTTCTCAGAACATAACAAAATATTTAAACAAAAGAAATATAACTTGGAAGACAAAACCTAATATACCACTTATTAAAAAAAAAAAACACTCAGAGTTCTGACTCTGACTGTAGGCTCAGTTAGAGATCCAATAGTGTCATCAAAGTACTATAAAAATAATTAAACCTTAGGCTGCCTTAAACACTGAGCACTTGGAGTTAGCACTTTAGGTGCAAAAGATACAGGATGAACACATGGATTTGTCCTCATGATGTTAACAATTAAGATAGCATAAATAGATGCACAAGCACATAATTATAAAAGTACTCTAAGAGAGCTGTACACAAAGTGTTATGAGACAGCCAAAAAAAACCCATTCTTCTTTCTGCCGAGGGAGGGCAAGAAACTTCAAAAAGAAAGTGATATTTCAGCCAATTCTTGCAAGATGAGCAGAAAGTTATACTTTTTAAGGCTCCTACCTGTGAGTAAGAACATGTGATACTTGTTTTTCTGGGCCTGGCTGATTTTACTTAACATAATGACCATCCCAACACAAAGAAACAGTAAATGCTTGAGGTGATGGATATCCCAATCACCCTGATTTTATCATTATACATTGTATACATGTATAAAAATGTCCTATGTACCCCCAAAATACGTACTATACTTATGCACTATACTACTACATATCAATTAAAAATAAAGAGAGTGTGGGTAAATAATTTGAAGTAAAGCAAATAAGAATAACCCAAAACCTAAAAAAAAAGTTGTACATAGTTTCAGGGAAAGAATTCCAGCAAAAGAGTGCCACATGCACAAACACAGGAGTGCTGAGAGACTATGATGTGTGTGAGGAACACAAAGTATTTTTGTATGACTGAAAAATCAGCTGCACTGGGGATTTGAAGCTGGAAAAATAAGCAGAGATCATAGGAAAAGACCTTGTTAAAGAATTTACTTTATCCCAGAGGCCACATGAAGTAATTGAAAGACATTAAGCAGGTAAGTGACTTAACCAGAGTTGCTGACAGATCGCATATAAGCCAAGGATGGTTTGAAGAGAATGAACTGGAAGCAGGTTTCTACCATACTCCAGGCCAGAGAAATCCAGAACCTAAATTCAATGGTGGTGGATATGGAGAGGTGACACTGAATTACTACTTAAGAGTAAAAATAATCAAATTTGGGGGACAAATGAAAGGATTGTATCCCAGTTCCTGGCTTGTACTTGGGATGGTGCCATTTACTGAAATAGAGGAACTACAAAGAGGAGTTTTGAGATGGAGGAAGCAGACAAGTACATTTATATCTCTTATTATTGTTTAAGTCCAAGTTAATTGTATGATGCTGTAACATATTCTTTTGTGTTTTTGTCAAAATTCCTTATGAATGGGGCTCACGGCACCTACTTTGTGTAGGTAGAGGTATTTCCTTGACTATTTACCACATTTTCTTCATTATCTATTAATTCATTCAATAACAATTTACCTGGCATCTACCTTTCTTGGCATTGGGGTAAAAAATTGAATAACACAATTTCTATTCCAAGGAGCATGTCATCTCTAGTATGAGACAGATACGTGCGTTAATGATTATTCTAAAATAAGAACTATGAAAGTGGTATTCTAGTTCTCCAATGTTACTAATGTATTAGAATTTCTGCCTATCTTTAGAGATTGTGTTGCTTTGCTCTTACTACCACCCTGCACTGAATACTGGCTTACCCTCACCTGTGGGCTCAGATTTATTCCCATTCTGAAAAGTTAGTGCAAGTACCACCTGATGGCCAAATCCATGACATGGATGCAGACCATCTAGGATGCAAACATTGCCGAAATAATTACTCAACTTCTTTGGGTCTCAGATTCCTTGACTGTAAAATCGGTATAATCCTCTCTGTACCTTCAGGTGTTGTGAGAATTAAATAAGATAATACATGTAAAACACTTAGAATGGTGTGTGGAGCTTATTTGATGCTTCATAAATATTCATTCTTAGTATGAAAGTAGATAAGGTATCAAGGATGTTTTCATAAAAGAAGCGATTCCCTGGCTGGACACGGTGGCTCATGCCTGTGATCCCAGCACTTTGGGAGGCTGAGGCAGGTGGATCATGAGGTCAAGATATGGAGACCATCCTGGCCAACATGGTGAAACCGCATCTCTACTAAAAAATACAAAAATTAGCTGGATGTGGTAGTGTGCGCCTGTAGTCCCAGCTACTCAGGAGGCTGAGGCAGGAGAATTGCTTTAACCCAGGAGGCGGAGATTGCAGTGAGCCAAGGTTGTGCTACTGCACTCCAGCCTGGGGCCTGGAAACAGAGCAAGACTCTGTCTCAAAAAAAAAAAAAAAAAAAAAAAGTGATTCCCTGGTTGAATTTTTTTTTAATGAATATGAATCAGCAAAAAATTTAGCATTTTCTAATTTTTTTCTCTTTACCTCCCTCCTTCCTTCACCACTCTAAATTCACCTCTTGCACCTGCTCAGAACTTTACTTAAATGTCATCTTATCAGTGAAGATTTCCCTGACACTTTCCACCTCAAGTGTTTATCTCCTTCTCCACAACTTTATTCTTCTCCATTGCTCTTATATACTATACTTTCTACTAACATAATTTGTTTATAACCTGTCTTCCCTATGATAAGATGAGTTTTATAAGGGCAGAGATTTTTGCTTGTTTTATTTACAAATGTATTATCTTCACTATCTAAAACAGAGCATGGCATACAGAATTATCTTCTGATAATATTTATGGAATAAATTATTATTTTATCTTAGAGATTGAATAGAGGGGCTATAGTGAGATTTGGCAATGAGTTGGATAAGAAAATTTTAGAAGATAGGCCTAGCATTATATCAATAATTATAATGGTCAACATTTATGGAATATGTACCAGATAGCAGACAACATGCTAAGTGCTTCAGACTATTCCTCTGTATGTTTATAGTCATGACAAAGAATTTTGGTCCCAATTTCAAAGCTTCATTATTAATGCAATGATGAAATCTTTTGTTTCCTTTTCATAGGATTTCATATTATTAGTCACACTTGCATATTGAAGTTGGATTTTATTAATATGTAAAATGTGAGCTTCAAGTTTCTTGAGAGTCAAGACACAAGTGAACTAAGAGAGCTAATGAAAAAGTTCATGCTTAACCCATCTAGATTCTGTCCATGGTTCTGATGCTATCTTGACACATGTAACTACTTGGAAAATACTCATCCCTGGGATCAATATAAGCCACACTGCCTATGCTGTGTGTCTTCTGTTTACACTGCAATTTTCAGAGTGTAGAAACTGAGATTCTTACAATATAGTGAAACCTTCCTGAGTATGGGCTTCTTGAGATTGGGACCCATTTGGATCTCCTCCTCAGGAGTTATTTGGTAATTGTTGAATCAATTTCTTTGATTTTCTCCTTCCTACATTTTTGTTTTGCAAAAGATATACCTGCCTGACTTCACCACTTTTCATTATGTATCAAGACCTCTCTCTTCATAAATGCTTGGTCTGGCTTTCTTGCACCATTGTTGAAGAGAAATAAGTTAGGAGCATGAACGTAAAGCTGTGATTTTGGCCATTCTCTAGAGAGAACAGAAAAATCAGGACATGTATAGATAATATATGGTATGCTAATTCAGTCTGGAAAAGTAGAATTCTTCCCCCAAAAATGTAAGTCTAATAGTAAAATTTCTTTTATTACATTTTGGAGAGTATAGATGTTTGATCCTCAACAACTATAACAAGGAAAGTAAAGAATGAGGCCACAGGAAGTCCCTTTTATAAGAGTATAATAGAGGTATAAATAACATATGAGGTTTCTTCTACCTTCCTAGATTTTGAATGCCCAGTGAAGTCCTGGGCAGAAGAATGATGTGGGAAAACTGGACAATTGTCAGTGAATTTGTTCTTGTGAGCTTTTCAGCCCTATCCACTGAGCTTCAGGCTCTACTGTTTCTCCTGTTCTTGACCATTTACCTGGTTACTTTAATGGGCAATGTCCTCATCATCCTGGTCACTACAGCTGACTCTGCACTACAAAGTCCTATGTACTTCTTCCTCAGAAACTTGTCCTTCCTGGAGATAGGTTTCAACTTGGTCATTGTGCCCAAGATGCTGGGGACCCTGATCGTTCAAGACACAACCATCTCCTTCCTTGGATGTGCCACTCAGATGTATTTCTTCTTCTTTTTTGGGGCTGCTGAGTGCTGCCTCCTGGCCACCATGGCATATGATCGCTATGTGGCTATCTGTGACCCCTTGCGCTACCCAGTTGTCATAGGCCACAGATCCCGTGCCCAGCTGGCTGCTGCTTCTTGGTTCTCAGGGTTTCCAGTGGCTACTGTGCAAACCACATGGATTTTCAGTTTCCCTTTTTGTGGCCCCAATAGGGTGAACCACTTCTTCTGTGACAGCCCTCCTGTCATTGCACTGGTCTGTGCTGACACCTCTCTATTTGAACTGGAGGCTCTGACAGCCACTGTTCTATTCATCCTCTTTCCTTTCTTGCTGATCCTGGGATCCTATGTTCACATCCTCTCCACTATCTTCAGGATGCCCTCGGCTGAGGGGAAACACAAGGCCTTCTCCACCTGTTCCTCCCACCTCCTGGTTGTCTCTCTCTTTTACAGCACTGCCATCCTCATGTATTTCCGACCCCGATCTAGTGCCTCTCCTGAGAGCAAGAAGCTGCTGTCACTCTCTTACACAGTGGTGACACCCATGTTGAATCCCATCATCTACAGCTTAAGGAATAATGAAGTGAAGGCTGCACTGAAGCGGGTTATCCACAGGACCCTGGGCTCTCAGAAACTATGACTGACTTAGATGGAAACTGAAGGGGTAAAATGTAAGCACACAAGAAAAATGAATTCCTCAAATGGGTTTTGTGTCTCTACTCTTTTTAGATGACACAGTATGCCTACTGATTTTTTTTTTTTTAACTTTCTACTAAGACCCATTTATGAAAGAAAGAACATGAGGAATGAAGAAAGCATTGTCGTAGTCTGAGTATTCTATGGGACAGTGGTACCAGAGTCTCTGAAGATGCTTCTAGTTTATATAAATTAGGATCCTCTGCAGATCAATAATTATAATCTACCATTTTAGAAGATTTGTTTCAGCCTTTCTCAAACTCCCTCATCCATTTCATTTTATGATTTTCTGCTTTACTTTCTTCTATTTGTCTAAAACCTATCTGCATGTTTCTAGGCTTTGTTTACAACATAATTAAAATAATAATAATGCTAATAAATAGTAGAGTTCTGTTTTATTCTTATACTGATTTTTCCCAACAAATTTTGAGTTTGAACTCAACATTTTAACAAATTTATATTCAGCACTCAGCATGTGTCACACTCGGTTTAGGCCCTGAAGACACATTGGTAAATAAAACAGGTAATTTTTTTTACCCCATAGAATTTACAATCTAGTGAGAAAAAGAGATAATAAAAAGATACAAAAATCTCCAGTGGTTTATAAAGTATACATGTTTAGAGGACTAGCAATTGAAGAGCAGACTGACTCTGTGTCTGCTCACAGAGTCAGTCTGCACCTCTCTGACTCATAGAGTCAGTCTATGCCTCATCTGGAGAAAGGCTGTTCCACAGTGACAACTGCCTAAATCTCACATTATCCACCTGGTGTATGGGAGCTGCTTGACATAAAACGTATAAAGAACTCCCAGCAAGTACAAGTGGAGAAATTATGGGGAACTGCCATAAAGAGCCAAGTATTCTTTGCTTATGAGATTTTTTTTCTGTAATTTTATTGTGATTGGATGGAATCTATTGTCTTTTTCAAGCTTGTGTGTATTTCAACCAACGTAGTAGCCTCTCTTTATGATTTTATCTAGTGAACATGGTCCAACTCTGAACTCAGCAAACAGCAGCCTTGGGTATGGGCAACATAACTGTGTGTAAACATACTCATAGCAATTCATTGATAATTCAGGGTGAAATTATATTTACTACACAGGCATGTCTGCCTTACCGACTCTGTAAACAACCTACTTCTATGTGCCATAGAAGTATCAGGACCAGTTTCTTTTCCTGCAGGAAGTGTCCTTTAGCTTCTTGACACAAGAGCTTCTGAAAGATAGCTCATTCTGTAAAATGACTGAGAATTTTCAAAAGAAAAGGCAGATCATGGGGTTCTATTTGCATGAAGGCAATCATACAATCAAGCAGATTGACACCATTAAAAATTGATAATCTCCAATTTCGGTCAAACTTTCATCACTTCTTCACATTCCTTTTGCTTGACCTTGGTGAATAAGGTAAACAGTGCCCCTCCCCACAAGGATATCTATATTCTAGTCCCTGGAACCTGTGGAAGTGGTACCTTCCATGGTAAAAGGGCTGCAGATGTGATTGACTTAAGGGTTCTAATATCTTGAGTTATCTTGGTGGACCCAATCTAATCACAAGGGTCCTTCTAAGAGGGAGGCAAGATGATAAGAAGGAGGGACAGAAAAATGTAAGCATGGAAGCAGAGGTTAGAGAAGACAGAAGGTGATACATTACTGATTTTGAAATTAGAAGACAGGGCCATGAGCCAAAAAATATAGGCAACCTCCTCTGGAAGCTGAAAAAGTCAAAGGGACAAAATGTCCCCCTAGTGACTTCAGAAAATAATGTAGGTCTTGCTGACATCTTAATTTTAGTGCACTGGAAGTGATTTTGGACTTTTAAACTCTAGAATTCTCAGATAACAAATCCATGTTGTTTTAAGCTACTAGGTTTGTGATAATTTGTTACAGCAGCAATAAGAAAATAATGCAGTTGGTTATACTGTAACCTTTTCAACTAATATCCAAGTTTTTGCTATTTTCCCCTGTACCTTTCTTCCTTCTTTCGAGAAAACAACTTCTACTTCATCAGGAAAATTGGGGTGATCAGATTTAAATGATTTTTACTTATGCCCTTACATCTAAAAATGTGCCTATCTATGCCCACATCTATGCCTATTTCTCTTAATCTGAGAAACACTTGATTTCATTGCCTCTTGTCTATGGACCATGCTCACTGTAGTATCTTGTCTGTTTCACCTGTAACTTCAACCTCTTCCTCTCTTTTGTCTCAAGCTACAAACATGCCCTGATCCTTAAAACAAAAATGAATTACAGTCTTGATCATGTTTCTCTTGTCTTTCTCATTTACTCTCTGACTTTGGTACCATCTTTATTGAAATAACTTACATATTATAAAACTCAGCTATTTAAAGTTTATAAATCAATTTTTTTAGCATATTCCCAGTGTTGTGCAACCATCACCACAATCTAAGTTTCCAACAAATTTATCATCCCTTAAAAAAGCCTATACCCATTAGCATCAGACAACTTCCTGGGGAAAAAAAAGTTTATAATTTCTATTTTATTTTCATTACATTTACTATTTATTCACTGAAATCTAGTTTCTGCTCCTATCACTTTATGGAAATACATCTTTCAAAATCATTAATGGCCTCTATATTAACATGTCCAATGTTTAATCTTAATTTTGCTACTCTCAATTACATCTCTTACATTGCTCATGCATTTCTTTTGAATATTTCTATACCTTTTATTTCCCAAATACCACTGTGTTCTGGTTTTCTTTCTGCATCTTTGAACACTCGTTCTCAATATTCAAGGATTTTTCTCACGAACACTTAACCATTACAAATACCGTGTTCCCCAAAGTTCCAATAATAACCCTGGTGCTTTTTTTCACTCTGTTACTTTAAAAAAAATAGCTTTATCAAAGCATAATTTATATACAAAAATGCATGTATTTAATGTATACAATTTGATGAGTTTATACACAGGTATATACTCATACTATACATACCACAAACAAGGTAAGAAAGAGAAAGAGAGAGAAGAAAATCTCATCACTGAGCTTGAGAATCAGATTTTTGCAACTGTCCATAAGACATATCCACAGTGATTTCTCAAAGGCGCCTCAAAGGTATCTTTTAACTCATATCAAAAACTAAACTCATTTTCTTTATCAAACCTGCTTCTTGAACTGAATTCCTATTTCAAGGACTGTGACTAGCATTACCTAGTCAACCAAATCAGAAATCTGATAATCAAATGAGGCTCATCCTTTATACCAGAAAATCCAATAAAGAGTCCTCACCTAACCTGCATGTTGTCATTTCCTTTGGGCCACAGTACTATATTACATATAATCTTCAGTAAATTCTACAAGGACTATGTGATTCTTTTTCTGGATCATAACTTAGAAATACTGTTTTTACAAAAGAACAGTTAAGTATATTTCTTCCTAAAACTTTTTTATTGCCGATTTAAAATTTTTATTACTATCCTGCTCATTCAAAATATTGTGATACATTCATAAATTGACCATCCTACAATTTGTATTTCAAATATTACCTCTTTCATGGCATGGGTTCAATTGCTTTCAACCTGACAGTATTTTCTTCTCTGAGAAAACACATGCACACAAACATATGACATATTTTTATTCTGTCTTACTTATTTGCTCCTTGATTATGTTGCTTTTTTGTAAGGACAGGGTTTAAAACATACTTATATCTCCTACATGGCCTAGCACAGTGACTTAAGCACGGTAAAAATGCAATTAATATACATTTGATTTCCCATGAAATAAATTGGGAGTGTTAAAATAAGTACAAACATTCGACTATCCAGTATCCCTCATAGATATTCATATATAATCCCTGCAGAGAAATGTTGACTTACCAATATTTTAGGTTTCCAATATTTAAAACAATTCTGTATTTATGATTAAATGTGTGAATTAAAAATGATAAAAACTGTTTATCTGTCCACCTGAAGGGTGTCTGTATTATCCATGAAAATGTGTAAAATACATAACTTCTGCCTTTACTCCCTGCCCATTGCAGTTAATCATTTCTATGTAAATTACATAATAGGGTTGGATTAGAAAATATAATAAAAAACATATTTCTATAGTTTATGTTACACTTATAAAATTCTACTTTTTTCTTTAAAACAAAATTCTACGTTTTTCTTTAAAACACTTTTTTCTTTGAATTAACTATTCTTATTATTATTCCCATATTAGAGATTATCTAAAAGATTTTATCCAATTTCATGCCTTTATATACTGTGTGTAGAGTACTGACCCCCAAAATTATATCTTCAAATGTGATATCTCCACTGAGCTCAAATTCAGTATCCAATTGCATTCTTCATATCTCTGCATTTATGTCAAGTAGGCATCTCAAACTTCCAAAACATTTCCATAAAACTTGCTTTGGACATGGATGAATCTGGAAACCATCATTCTCAGCAAACTGACACAAGAACAGAAAATCAAATACCATATGTTCTCACTCATGGGCGGGTGTTGAACAATGAGAACATGTGGACACAGGGAGGGGAACATCACACACTGGGGTCTGTTGAGGGTCCAGGGGAGGGACAGCGGAGCAGCGGAGGTTGGGGAGGGATAACATGGGGAGAAATGCCAGATATAGGTGATGAGGGGATGGAGGCAACAAAACCACATTGCCATGTATGTACCTATGCAACAATCCTGCATGATCTGCACATGTACCCCAGAACCTAAAGTACAATAAAAAAACTTGCTTTTTTATTCCCCTCTTCTACTCACCAGCAAATATTATTACCATTTATTCAGTGACTCAAGCCAAAACCTTAAGAGCCATCCTTATTTACTCACTACCTTTCATCCCTCATATTCAACCTATCAGCAAACCTGATAAATGATTTCCAAAACATATGCTATATCCAATTTTCTTTGATTTTATACTGCTATTATCCTAGGCCACGCCTCAATCATTCTTTACCTTGACTACCGCAGTACCTCCTAACATATCTT